GCAGTTAGAAGAAAATATAAGATTAAATCTTTGGGACATTGATTAAGATTTCTTAGATATGATGCCAGATGCACAATTAATAAAAGAAAAAGTTAATAAATTGGAATGCATCAAAATGTAAAATTTTGTACTTCAAAACACCAATAAGAAAGTGTTAAGACAAACTATTGATGGAGTGAAAATATTTGCAAATCATATATCTGGTGTGTGTGTGTATATATATATATCTGATACTGTATATTCAGTATATGTAAAGAACTCTCAAAACTGAACAAAGGAAACAACTCAATTTTTAAAAGGCAAAACATTTCAACAGGCATTTCACTTACGTATACAAATGGCTAAAAAGCACAAGAAAAGACACTTGCCATAATTTGTCATTGGGGAAATGTAAATCAAAACTATAATGAGATATTACCTTTTACCCACAAGAATGGTATGTATTGCTACAGATGTACAGAAAGTGGAACCCTCAGCCAGGTGCAGTGGCTCGCGCCTGTAATCCCAGGACTTTGGGAGGCCAAGGTGGGCAGATCAGTTGAGCCCAGGAGTTTGAGAACAGCCTGGGCAACATGGCAAAATCCCATCTCTACAAAAAATATAAAAATTAGCTGGATGTGGTAGTACTCACCTATAATCCCAGCTACTCAGGAGGCTGAGGTGGGAGGAGCAATTGAGCCCAAGAGATTGAGGCTGCAGTGAGCCAAGATCATGCCATTGCACACCAGCCTGGGTGACAGAGTAAGACCTTGTCTCAAAAAAAGAAAAAAAAAGAAAATCAGAACCACTATACACTGGTGATGGGAATGTGATGTGGGGCAGTCACTTTGGAAAAGTTTGCTAGTTTCTTAAAATGTTAAATATTTATTTCCTGTATGACTCAGCAATTCCACTGCTGGGTATCAACCCAAGAGATATGAAAACATATGTCCACACAAAGTCTTGTACATGAATGTTCATAGCAGTGTTGTGCAGTTTAAAATAGCTAAAAAAGGCTGGGGGTGGTGGCTCAAGCCTGTAATCCCAGCACTTTGGGAGGCCGAGGCGGGTGGATAGTGAGGTCAGGAGATTGAGACCATCCTGGCTAACATGGTGAAACCCCATCTCTACTAAAAAATACAAAAACTAGCCGGGCGAGGTGGCAGGCGCCTGTAGTCCCAGCTACTCGGGAGGCTGAGGCAGGAGAATGGTGTAAACCCGGGAGGCGGAGCTTGCAATGAGCTGAGACCTGGCCACTGCACTCCAGCCTGGGCAACACAGCGAGACTCCATCTCAGAAAAAAAAAAATTGCCAAAAAAGCTGAAAGAGCCAAAATGTCCTTTAACTGATGAATGGATAAACAAAATGTGGTCTACCCGCACAATGGATTATTCAGCAATAAAAAGGAATTAAATACTGATACATATTACAACATACATGAATCTCAGAAACATTATTCTAAGTGAAGGAAGTCAGGTGCAAAAGACTGTGTAACATAGGACTCCATATGAATTGTCCAGAAAAGGCAAATCTACAGACAGGAAGTGATTGTCTGAGGCCAGGTGGGAATGGGGAATGACTGCAAAGGAGTTCCAGGGAGTTTTGAGGGGCTGGGGATGAAAAAGTTATAAAATTTATTTCACAACTCTGTAAACTAACTGAAAATAATTCATTTGAAACAGGTGGGCCGGGCGCGGTGGCTCAAGCCTGTAATCCCAGCACTTTGGGAGGCCGAGGCGGGGCGGATCACGAGGTCAGGAGATCGAGACCATCCTGGCTAACACAGTGAAACCCCGTCTCTACTAAAAATACAAAAAAAAAGCCGGGCGTGGTGGCGGGCGCCGTAGTCCCAGCTACTCGGGAGGCTGAGGCAGGAGAATGGCGTAAACCCGGGAGGCCGAGCTTGCAGTGAGCTGAGATCCGGCCACTGCACTCCAGCCTGGGCGACAGAGCCGAACCAGCTCTCACAAAAAAAAAAAAAAGAAACAGTGTGAATGTGTGTCAGCTGTGCATCTTCAAGCTTCATTTCTTTTAATGGTACCATCCTTTGGCCCGACAGCCCTAAACTGAAGGAAGACAAAAAAAAAAAAAAAAAAAAAAAAAAAAGAAACAGGTGAATGTTATGGCATGTCAATGACACATCAATAAAGCTATTTCTTTTAATGGTGCCATCAACCCCAGCCCATTGACCCTAAACTGAAGGAAGACAGATGCTAGATGTGTTCAGTAGGGCTCCATCAAAGTTGATTTTTTGAAGTTGTGGGCACCATTCCAAGTGAGGCCAGGTCAGGTCTTACCAACGCAGGTCTCCATAACAACTGTCTTAGTACTGATTGTGTGGTTAAGGTAAATATTAAAAGCCAGTGCCCTTATACAAAGGCTGAAATGTAACAAAATGCTACCAAGAGTTTTGCCTAGACCTTTCCTGGGCCTTCAAGCATGACAAAATAAAGGAATTCTTAACAGGACCCATTTAGGATTAAACACATTTTATTGGGGGTCTGAAGAAACTCCCCAGACCTCCACAAATAGGCTTACTGGGGGTCTGAAGGAACTCCCCAAACTCCCACGATTTAGGAGACAACATAAGGGTTTTAGATTAAGTAAATTTACTGAGGATGCAGAGGAAGGTCTTCAGGACTCAGACCTTAGGTATAGATTAAAAGAAGTCAATTACTTATGTCTTTAGATGAATGCACACTTACACGTAGACACATAGCTTAGAAGGTATATAAGCTCTGGAAAACTGTAATTTTGAGTTGGTCTGGCGATAATTTCCAGGTCTTATCCTTGTAACTGGTTACAGAAATAAAAACTCTCTTCCTCCCCTGTTCATCTGCATCTCATTATTGGACTGTGAGAAATAGCAGCCCACCCTCAGTTTGGTCCAGGAACAGTTTGATCCCTTCTTGGCCAATCTCTGGTGAAACCCACCAGAATGGAGGAGAGCCGGGACCCGGTGCACTGTCAGCTTCCAAAATTCCTTCACGTGGTCTCAGTCCTCCAGGGATTATGATGGGTGTGAAGGAGCTGGGCATTCTCTAAGGAGCCAGCATACGACACCCAGCTCACCACCCACCAACCGCATCCTCACTGTCATCTCCAAGGCTCTTTCATGTCCTCTTCCTGCCTTTCGGGGGGCCACTCCCTCTGAATCCACCACCCTGCCCTCCCCAACAAGCCTGACTGATTTCTGGAGCAGGGCCTTCCCCCATGTGAGCTCTTCTCCCTGACATGCTCATGCCCTAGATTTCCACACACTGGGTCCCTCTCCATTGGTGTCCCTAGGGACACCTGCTCACCAGCTCCCGGCTGCAGGCACGTTCTAGCACAGGCCTGCTTGTTCTCATCAGTGTTCAACCAACATTGGTTGAATCACTAAATCAACATGCAGAATGTGGGTAACCTGAGAATGGGCACTCACTTGCCAGGTTTCTCAAAAGACCTAACCTGTTAGTCTTCAAGATGTTTGTCTTGGGTGCGGTCATGGGCCAGACCCAATACCAGAACCCCAGGAGGATGGAGACCAACTGCCGAGTCCCTGCTCCTCCAAGGCTCCCTGACATGAGACCAGCTAAGACAGCATAACCCATGGGGCAGGACAGGCTCCTGGGGTGGCAGCTGTGTTCATCATCTTGACTGGGTCAAGATGTATCCAGCTGTTCCTTTTATGTGCAGTTTATTGTATACATCTGTTGAAACATATCAAGACAAAAACAGGGAACAAAAAAAGGAAACAAAGACCACAAAGGAGGGACAGGGAAGAACCCGGAACGCGCTGGCAGCACAGGGAAGAGGCAGGTGTTTGCAATCAGACCTGAGTTCCAGGTCCCACTCAGCCCTTCCTGCTTGGGACCAGAGCACTGTCCCAGATCTCTCCAAACCTGTTTTCCCATGGGTGAAAGAATGGCTCGGGAAGGATTTACTGTTCTTTCCTGAGAACTCAGCAGTATTGAACACAGTGCTGCCTCACAGTAAACACTGACAAATGGTGAGCATTGTTGAGGGCAGGGCCTCGACCTACCACCACACCCAGTTTTCTTCATGAATTTTCCACTCCTCTGCCTCGCGCACCTCTGGGGCTGCACCTCCCGGGCAGGAGCCCTCACAAACTCAGGCCTCAGTGTGCCTTATCCCCCACCTGATTCCAAATCAAAATAAAACATTTCTCTCCCCAAATGTGTACACAGCACTCCTCTAAATTAAAGGGCTGTGTGCTGGCTCTGAGCACCCCACCTGGCTCTCCCTGGCCTTTGGCGCTGGGGTTCACTGGCCTGCAGCCTGCGCCCCATGGTCCTGCATTCTGCATCCCTCCCTCTGAAGCGATGTCGTTGTCTGGGTAAATACCCAATTCATCTTCTGGCCCCAAGAAAATTAAGGACAGGTGATCCACCCTCGGCCTTCCAAAGTGCTGGGATTACAGACCTGAGTCACCGCTCCCAGCTGCCTAAATAATTTCTTCTTAACTCCTTTATCACCTGAACGCCCGGGGCGCAGTTCCCCAGTCACGCTTGGGCATTGAACTTGCCCACCTCGCCTTCTCGAGGCGCCTCCGCGTTTACGGTATGGAGGCTGTTCACGGCCAACCCGGGTAGGGCTGGCGGCCAGGCAGGGCAGCCCGGAGCCTCGTCCTCGTCCAGGGTCAGGCGGTCGGCGCTGAAAATAGCAGCTCATGGAAGGCGGGGAGCGGGGAGCCGGGAGGGTGGAGCGGAAAGAGGCCGGAGACCTCCACGGCGTCGGGGTACCCCGCCCTCACCGGGACCCGGGGACCCCGGAGACGAGCGCCCCGGCCAGGCTGCGCCACCGCGCCCATCCTGCTTTCGGGTCCCAGGCACCCACAGCGCGGCCGCGCCCACCTGCCAGCCGGCTCCCCAGGACCCAGGGTCTCGGAGGCTGGGGTGGCGGCCAGCCTGAAGTCTCGCGGCCCTGAGCGCGCCCCCCGGCCCGGCTGTCGGGTGCACCCCGGATTTCCGGCCTCCGCGGCTCCCTCGCGGGCACCCGGGGCCGAGACCCGCACTCACCAGTCAGCGTCTGCAGCAGCTCGGCCATGGCTCAGCGTCTGGTCTCCGCCGCCGCCTTCCGCCCGGCAGCCCTGGGGCGGGGAGAGCTCGAGGCGCCCCCTCCCGGCCCGCGCCGCCCGCCGCCCGCCGCCCGCCGCCCCGACTTGCCGAAGCCGGACTCGGGTGGGGACAGCGAGGCGCGGGAGACGGCCGGGGGTCCCCAGGGACCCCTGCTAGGAATGGACGGCGCCTCCTCGCGCGCGCCCCCATGGGACCCGCGCGCCCCTCGCAGCCCTGGTCCCCTGGAGCCGTGTTACTGCATCCCGCCCGGGGCCGAGCCGCTTCGGGTGCCCCTGAAGCCCCGCCCCCGGGGGACCCCTTAACGCCCTGTCCCCGGGGGGGGGGGCGACCCCCTGACATCCTGCTCCCCCGGGGGTGCGGGGGAGACGAACCCCTGAAGCTCCAGCCCCAGAACCACGACCCCCGGCTTCCCAGCTCGCACGCGCCGGGCCCTCCAGCCCAGCAGGACCCTGTGCCCCGCGCCCGCGACGCCCCCCTGGGCAGAGTCGCTCCCCCGGCCCAGGCCTGCGGCCCCACGGAGCTCTGCGCCCCGCACACTGAGGAACCTTCGCGTTCCGGATGCGTTCGAGTCCCCTTCTGGCGCCCGCCCCGGGCCCTGAGGCCCCTTTGCGGACCTCAGTTCCGCGGACTAAGCCCTGCTCCGCCCAGCCACGACCCCAACCCTTGCCTGGCCTCCGCCCAAGGAAGCCCAGGAGAGGGCGGCGGCAGCGGCAGGGACTGGGGAGAGCGTGCCCCACAGTGAAGAGAAGGAATCTCCCGAAGGCTCCAGGAGACATCCCAGAGGCTTCTTCTTGCTTTTGCTGGTATCTCTCTGAGGGGTTTACACTGATACCCCGTTCACAGGACCCTGATCCCGTCCCGCCCTCCCGGGGCACCGTTCTCATTTCCATGAAAGCTGAGGGCATCTTTAATGCTTCCTTTCCCTCCCACCCAAAGTCCAGTTCGCCAGCTCCAAGACATGTCCCTGGTGCAGGCGCAGGAAAAAAGTGTGGCAATTCCTCAAAACATCTAACAGAATTACCGTACGAGGCCGGGCGCGGTGGCTGACACCTACAATCCTAGCACTTTGGGAGGCCGAGGAGGGCAGATCACTTGAGGTCAGGAGTTCAAGACCAGCCTGGGCAACATGGTGAATCCTCCATCTCTACTAAAAATACAAAAATTAGCCGGTTGTGGTGGTTCGAGTCTGTAATCCCAGCTACTTGGGAGGCTGAGGCAGGAGAATCGCTTGAACTTGGGAGGTAGAGGTTGCAGTGAGCCAAAATCGCACCACTGCACTCCAGCCTGGGCAACATAGCAAGACTCCGTCTAAAAAATATATATGTAATTACTGAATGAGCTGGCAATCCTTTTGGGTATACACCCAAGGAATTGAAAGGGGGTCTGGAAGAGACATGTGCACACCCGTGTTCCTAGCAGCAGAACTCACTATAGCCAAAAGCTGGAAGCAGCCACAGTGTTCACCAAGGTGTGATGACTGCACTGAGTGGGTCTGTCTGTAGACGGAACACTACTCAGCCTTAGAAAGGGAAGAGACGCTGACACCTGCTACAGCGTGGATGAACCTTGATGCCTTATGCTAAGTAAAAGAAGCCAGTCCAACAAGGAAAAATGCCAAGTGATTCTATTTACTTTTTTTTTTTTTTTTTTTTGGCAGAGTCTCCCTCTCTCACCCAGACTGGAGTGCCATGGTGCGATCTCAGCTCACTGCAACCTCTGCCTCCCACGTTCAAGTGATTCGCCTGCCTCAGCCTTGTAAGTAGCTGGCACCACAGATGTGTGGCACCACAGATGTGTGCCACCACGCCCAGCTAATTTTTGTATTTTTAGTAGAGACTGGGTATCACTATGTTGGCCAGGCTGGTCTAGAACTCCTGACCTAAGGTGATCCCCCTGCCTTGGCCTCTGAAAGTGCTGGGATTACAGATGTAAGCCACCATGCCTGGCCACGATTCCACACATCTGAGGGACTAGAGTCATCAAATTCGTAGAAATAGGAGAATGGTGGGTGCCTGGGGAAGGCGGGAATGGGAGCTGTGAACGGTGTTGAGTTTCAGTCTGGGAAGATGAAAAGGGTATTATAGATGGATGCTGGTGATGGCTACACAACGATGTGAATGAACTCAACACCATGGAACTGTGCATGTTTATATAGTTGAGATGGTAAATTTTATGTGTATTTTACCAAAATATGGAAGGAAGAAAGGGAAGGATGGAGGAAGAAAAAGGGAAAAAAGGGAGGCAGGGAGGGACAGAGGGAGGGAAGAAGGAAACAAGGAATGAAAGATGGAAGGAAGGAAAGAAGGAAGGGAGGGAGGGAGAGAGGGAAGTTCCCTGTGGGCAGCCCTTAACTATTCAAAGAGGGACAAGTGGGACAAGCCTGGAGGCTCTGTTCCTGCCCCTGAAGGACTCTGGCCCAAGGCTGCCCTGCCTGCAGACCCCACTCCAACAGGCCACTTCTGAGATCGCAGAGCCCTGCTGGTCTCCAGGTCCACGACCAGGGAGCCCTACATGGGGAGGATGTTCTCCCCTCCACCCACCCATGAGCTGAGGGTTAGGCTGCAGCCCAGCATCCTGGTGCCACCTGCCCTGTTTGTGGGGCTGAGTCTTCTCCCTGGACGGGCCTGGCACATGGAAGGAGCTCAGTAATCAGCTGTGGATCCAGTCCTCTGAGTCTGTGCCCTGTACCGTGAAGGACACCAGAATATGTCACCCCAAAATGAGCCTCAGAAATTATCTTGAGCTGAAGGCAACTAAGATGCAGCAGAAGCAGAGAAATCCCTCTCTGCCCTGTCCCTCTGCTGCCTGAGGCAGGATGGACGTTCTCTTTATAGGAAAGAGACGCATCAGCCAGAGAAAAGAAGGTATCCGAGGACTCTATGAACGAAGCTTCTGCCTTAGTTTCCTCCCAATACTCACTTTGCCAGTTTCCCAACCTTGGAAGCCTAAAACTGCTCTCCTGGGTCCTGTCATTTCCCCACATGTTGATTATTCTTTGTTGAAGATGCTCCATAACCCAGTTCTCAATCACTGTTTTGAGTTGCTTTTTATTGAGGCTTCTCCAGTGAGATGTGCGCTACAGGCATCAATGAACTGTTTTTCTCTTTTGTAAAGAGCCCCAGTTGGAACCCTAAGAGGAGCAGAAGGAAACTTTCACTCCCCTACCATGGCACAGTGGCCTGCCACATTCAGGGCTGGGGGCTACTCCAGGTTCTCGCACCTTTTGGCTGACTTTCTAGCCCCCACTCCTCGTCCCATCAGCTCACTGTTTCCATAAAACATTTGTTATGGCGATGTGCAAGGAGCTCCCTGCCACTGCCCTGAACTTCTTCCCTGAAAACAAGCTAGCCAGTGTTCAGAGGAAGGGAAGGAATAAAAGGCTCTGCAAAGGAGAGCCCAGTCAGACCAGGAGGTGTAAGCATGAAACCGATGTGTTATTCACAAATCCTTGGGCCAGGGAAGGACTTGGTTCAGAAGAATGTACAGTCTTGCCCAAGGTCTTGCAGAATTTAGGGCAATGTTGTGGCCCAAACCCAGGTCTAGGGAGACCTCCATTCTGGTTTGCATGTGTTGGAAACAAGTGCTCGGTGTAGCCAAAAGAAACGCGCAGTTAGAACATTTCTCAGCAAGTCATCTTTACTTCTGCAGAAGGGTGCTGCTTGTGCCTGTTACAGTCCCAAGAGCACATCAAACAAAGGAGGGAAGGGATTTTTATCCCTAATTTCTGTTTCTGTGTCCTTCCCCTATTGGCTGGGGTTGGACCACATAACCTAAGCTGATCCCGAATGGCTAAGGCTTAAACCTTCCCAAATAAGGTAAATGTGCAATTTTTGAAAAGGTTGGGTGGGATAGGATTGGTTTACAAATTATTTATATAGTTGAGATGGTAAATTTTATGTGTATTTTACCACAATAAGGAAGTTGAATCTTTGAAGAGGAACCTAGTTGTCCCAACAATTTCCCTTTTTTTATTTTTATTTTTTTTTTATGTAGAGATGGGGTTTCACCATGTTAGCCCGGATGGTCTCAATCTCCTGACCTTGTGATCCACCTGCCTCAGCCTCCCAAAGTGCTGGGATTACAGGCGTGAACCACAGCGCCTGGCCTCCCCTCCTCGGTTTTATAATTCTTCCTCTTCAAATTTCTTTAACAGGATTTGGCTTTGTTGTTCTTCTTGATCATCTAGGAGCAAGAGCTTATCTGAGTACGGATGGGGAGAGGTGGGGGAGGTTTTTGTGACAGCTGCTTCTACGAGCCTTTGGGTTAACTCACGAATACAAGGTATGATACAGCAGCCCTCAAGGATGAGTACACCTGTAACCATTGCAAGGGAGGTAAAGATTGAGGTCATGAGTCCCTTCCATTTTCCAAACCATTTCTCCGTGACACCTGCAAAGGGGTCATCTATTCCAGAGTTCTCAGCTAATTCATTTGCTAGGGTGGTAAGGCCTTATAAGGCTTTTGTGATTGTTCCGTCCGGGGCTGTGTTATTGGGGATAAAAGTGCCACATTGGACCCCAATCATGACACAGACTCTGCCCTTTTTGGCCAATATCATGTCAAGGGCTATCCTATTTTCCTAGGCCATCTGGCTGGTAGGGCCTATTTGTTCAGCTATTCCTTTTATGGCGTCTCTGGTGTAACTGATGAATCACTGTTTATTTTAGTATATATAATGTGTCCAGTCTACATTTTTGTTTATAGTGGACCACCAGAATAAGATAGACTCAAACCTGGTGGCTATTTGGTTTCAAGCTTTGAATTCATTTGGTACCCTCCCGTGTGCGACCCCAATACTGTCTATGTAAACATGAGGGGTCAAACGACCCATGAGGGCCTTCTCTTTTCCTTTGGGCTACATGCTTCCTGCCTGGTTGGTGAAATGCCAAGGTGAAAGGGATGGTCAATTGGTTCAGAGCGCAAGTACTACTCTAATTGTTTGGCAGAGTATTCAGTATTGGTCCCCCACAATACCACTATACATCCAGTTGGGGATGGAGTAGGGCTGACTGATTGGTTAGCTCT